AAGAAAAAGGCATTAGCAATGTCGTTTTTCCCTCCGAGCTAAAATAACACAGCAGTGAGAGCTGAGGATGCAGCTGTGGTTCAGAGGGGGTTTATTTTTATTTTTTTAATACACCACTGGGAGTTCAAACAACGTGTCAGTGATACATTGCCTTTTGTAGAGAGCGGCTTCTTTGTCTCCACCCTCTTTGAGTTTTTTTTCTTTTTCTTTTTTTTTTTCTTCATTTATTTTCTTGAAGCATTTTAGTCATCCTGTTGAGCACATAGCTCATCTGGATAAAAGCTTCTGCTGTGACATCCACAGCCTGGATCTGCAGAGTTGTTTGTTTCAAAGCAATAGTCTGGGAGAATTTATTGAACTGGCATCTCCTCTGCACCCCAACTCCCGTGTAAATTAATGAAATGCATGTTCCGTGGCACTTGTTAAAAAGCAATAAATCCCCCTGTTGCATTTATTGCTTTGAAGGTAAGGAAAAAAGAGATGATTTAGTCTTGAGGTAGGATGGCTGGGGACACTGTGCTTGCCGTGGTGCTCTGTCTCAAAGGCAAAGTGCTTTGCTCTGGCAGCTGAAGCAGCCTGAGAACCCAGAGATGTCCCCAGACCACGGAGGGCTGACCCTGTTGGCTTTCACCCAGCTGGCACCCCATCCCAGGTGCATTCAAACCCCACGCCTTCATCTGGAGGCACAGCATCTGCTGGTAAATCCAGGCTCACAGAGATACTCCAGAAGCAGTGGAACAGGGGGGGTTTGTAGGCTAAGTGCCTCTTCATGTCTACACAGGCAGCTCGGTACATCTTGACACTGGGTGATTAGTGTGTGAGATGTGAGTCTGCACTTAATGGTGCCTGAGTATCTCTCAGTGCTTTGCAAATCCTGATTAAACAAACCCTAGTTAATGGCTTTTTAATTTTTTTTTTATTTTATTTTTTTTTTAAATCCCCATATTGCCAGGATGTGGTAAAGCCACTTTCTTAATCTCTGAATCTGCTGAATCCAAGGGCAGTGCTGCAAGCAGAGCCAGGTGCCCATGGAGCTGATCACTGCTCATGGCCTCAGCACCAGGGCTGGGGGGCTCCTGTCCCTCTCCCCCGGGCCTGAGCTGCCCGTGGAGGGGCACTGATGTGGATGAGCAGTGATCTGGGCTTGTCTCTCTCCCAGTGCAGGAGAGAGGTGGGAACCCACCCCTGCAGCCTTTCTGGGTTCATCCTGTGGCAGCTCATGCTAAGGGAGGCCCCTCCTGGGTGCCAGGAGCATCTCTGCAGGGCACACACACCCGTGGGGAGCAGTAGCAAGGCTGCTGGCTCCTGGTGCAGTGTGAATTTGAAGTCAGATAGGAGCTTTTATGTCTTTGAGAATGCTCAGCAGGTTTAGGGAGTAAGTGCAGGGCAGAAACAGAATGGTAGGAAGGATGACTTTGTGACCACAAACACATCTCCTGCCTCTCCTGTGGCCTCTGCTGCGATGTCAGCCTGAATCTCAGAAAAATCAGGGCAGAAAGAGTCATTCCTCCCTCTGCCCTCCCTGACCTGGCCTCCTCTCTTCTCTTAGTCTTTGACTCAAACTTCTTCCTGGCTGACTGACCAGAGTCAAGCACAGTCTCATGGGCTGAGCCTAAGGGATGCCTTGGAGAACAGTGATGATATTGGACCTTCACAGTGGGGAAGGAAAAGCAAGTGATGGGGGCAGCAGCCCCTGCAGCATCCTGAGCGAGCCTGAGCCTCAGGTGAGACCTTGCTGGAAGGTTTGCATGTATTTAACTCTATCAGGAATGGGGAGCAGGAGTGACTGTGAGGATGTGGTCAGTAGGCACTTAAAGCACTTCCTTTGAAACCACAAACCCAAAAGTACTTTTTTTTTTTTTTT